ATTGTTCCATGGGCACGACGTCACGCGAGGCCACTGCAATGGTTTCTGCTCCCTTACCAGCGCTCAGGACGCAGCGATTCCCTTCACAAAGTATACCTTCCACCCCAACTTCGGCTGTCGTTTCGGTGGTGGATGGGATCAGCCGTGAGCAAGGGCTCGCACTTTCTGATTCAACACAGAATGACTCTAACTTCGGACGCCAGCCTTCGCGGCTGGGGAGCCCACCTCCAACATCAGGTGGTGCAGGGTCGTTGGTCCGTTCCAGAAAGAGGCCACAACATCAATCTGTTGGAACTCAGAGCAATCCGCCTGGCCCTCCAACATTTTCAATCTCAGTTGGAGGGTCACCACGTCCTTGTGCTCACGGACAACATTGCAGCCAAGGCCCATGTAAACAAAGAAGGCGGGACTCATTCGAGGTCTCTGATGTTAGAAGCGGAGAGTCTATTCCGGTGGGCGGAACGCCACCTTCTTTCCTTGAGAGCCGATCACATCTCCGGCGTAGACAACGTGCGGGCAGACTGGCTAAGCAGACAAAGTCTCGATCACTCGGAATGGCAGCTGCATCCGCGGCTCTTTCACGAAGCCATCCTTCTATTCGGCACGCCTATCGTGGACTTGTTCGCCAGTCCGTCGAATGCTCAACTTCCACTATATGTGACCCGTTACCCTTGCCAGTCGGCGATGGATCACGATGCGCTGCGATGCCGCTGGCCCCAGGGGCTTTTGTACGCCTTTCCCCCAATTCCCTTGATTCCTCAGGTAATTCGGAGGCTCTTGGAGGAAAGGGCCGAATTGATCCTGGCGGCTCCCAACTGGCCTCGTCGACAGTGGTACGCAGATCTTGTGGCCTTATCGTCTCGTCCACCATGGCTGATTCCACGAGACCGCATCGCCCTACGCCAAGGGGTCATCGACCACCCAGAGCCAGAATGGCTCCAATTGGCCGTTTGGCGTTTGAGCGGCTTATATTGCGAAAGGACCGACTGCCCGACTCCGTCATAAGTACGATTCAAGCTTCTCGTAGGCCGTCAACTTCACGGATATACGACTCTTCCTGGAGGGCTTTCTGTCGCTGGTGTGCGGCCAACCTGGTGGACCCTACTTCAGCCCAGATAGAGGACGTGCTGTGTTTTCTTCAATCCGGCTTAGACAAAGGGCTGTCACCATCTACCCTTCGTCGTCAGACGGCTGCATTATCTACGGTTATTCGGTGCCCCCCATACTCGTCTTTGTCTATGCATCCGTTACTTAAGGGATTTCTTCATGGAGCAGTAAACCTATGCCCACCTGTCGTTCATAGGTACCCGACCTGGGACCTTTCCCTTGTTCTTCAGACCTTGATGTACCCTCCTTTTGAACCTTTGGGGTCTATTCCTTTAAAGTTTTTGTCTTTCAAGTTGACCTTTCTTTTGGCGATCACTTCGGCCAGACGGGTGTCTGAGCTTTCCGCCTTATCGATTAGAAAAGATCTCTGTATTTTTCAACCTAATACAGTAATACTACGTTTGGACCCAGCATTCTTACCTAAAGTGAACTCATATTTTCATCGGGCTCAGGAACTTATCCTTCCGGATTTTTGCCCGTCGCCGAAACATCAACGCGAAAAAGACTGGCATACCCTTGATGTGCGTAGGGCTCTACGTCGTTATATTCGCAGGACTGAATCCATCCGTAAAACTGAGGCTCTTCTGGTGTCGTTTCATCCACCTTCCTTGGGCCACAAGATCTCTTCATCCACAGTGGGCAGGTGGATTAAGACATGCATAGCTACAGCTTACAAACAACGTTCTCGTCCTGTGCCGCGTCGCATCTTACCTCACTCTACTCGTAGTGCGGCAGCGTCGGCCGCCTGGGCTACGCAGGCTTCAGTTTCAGACATATGCCGGGCCGCTACTTGGTCTTCGGTGACACCCTTCATCAGACATTACCGAATTGATACGTATGCTTCGGCCGAAGCATCTTTTGGGCGACGTGTTCTCCAAAGTGTTCTTGAGGTCCAGGAGGCTGAGTCCAAGTAGTTTTTCCCGCCCTGGGATTTGAACTTTGGTATATCCCAGAGGTGGATTGCAGGAGCAGAGGGCTGGAAAACGAACGTTGTCTTACCTGAACGTTCCTTTTCAGCTCTCTGCGACTGCAATCCACACCCGCCCTGTTGATTTCTGTTTTTTTGTGTTTTTTACGGGTTCCAGAGTTTTTGAAGTTTATATGGCTTGTTCTGAGATTTGATTTGCCTACTAGGTGGTCACGCCTTCGTTCAAAGACTGGTGCATCATGGGAAAGTGGGCGTGGCCACAGCACGGAGAGACAGTTAAAAAGAATCACCCAGTCAATAGGAAGCGAGGAAGAAGAGAACCCAGAGGTGGATTGCAGTCGCAGAGAGCTGAAAAGGAACGTTCAGGTAAGACAACGTTCGTTTTATACTCCGGTGTGTTTTATACTCCGGTGCATCTTATACTCTGAAAAATACTGTATATTGTATTTTCTTGCTTCCATGAACGGCAAGAAAGGAGTTCCATACTTCCAACAATATAAAAAGCTAATGACCTGTCTGTTAACATTGGGTCCTTATGTTTCTTTTGTTGTGGTGAGAGAACTTTTAAGAGATTTTGTGTCCCTTTGTACCAAAACTGCTTCTCTTTGTTCCATTCAGACCTGCTTCAAAAATAGAATCGGAATCGGAATAGAATAAGGCTAGGCTAGGCTAGGCTAGGCTAGGCTAGGGTAGGGTAGAGTAGAATAGTATAGAATAGAAATAGGAATGGAATGGAATGGAATGGAATGGAATGGAATGGAATGGAATGGAATGGAATGGAATGGAATGAATAGAATAGAATAGAATAGAATAGAATAGAATAGAATAGAATAGAATAGAATAGAATAGAATAGAATAGAATAATAGAACAGAATTCTTTATTGGCTAAGTGATTAGACACACAAGGAATTTGTCTTCGTTGCATAAGCTCTCAGTGTACATAAAAGCTATAAGTGATAAATCATGATCATAGTCATCATAAAAAATACATTCAACATAAAGCACAAGATACAACACTTAGTGATAGTCACGGGCTACTAAATAAGCAATCAACATAAATCAAAAGCATCTTCAAACTCTTTGTTTCTTTTTCCGCTGCTTTGGTCAACCGATTGAAATTTATTTTAAGCCACAGAAGCTGGTTCAAATATAACATTGAGCCAACTTTCACTGCAAGTGGCCTTCTGCTCTTTTAGACATGGGGAAGTCAGAGCAACCTGTGAGCCTGCAGTTTTACACGGGCATGCTCCAATTTATGGCACTAAATCCCGGCTTAGCATTGCTTGCAAATCCATCAGCAATTTTCTTTCTTCTTTTTTTTTTTGGGGGGGGGGGGTTAGAAATCTGATTAGAAAATTCAGATTTGTGATTAAAGTGCCGTCTTTCACTGGGCTTTTTGTTCCTTCAGGTGGTGATGCTTTTAAAATGTAAAAAGGTTATTCCAAAATGGATAAGATAAAGCACTGTAAACCTTTAATTAATTTAAGCCAGGATTACAGGGATTGCTGAGGTGCTAGACTTCTAACTCAATCCTCAGAAGGCCTGCGTAGAATTTTATTTTAAGCCTCTTAAGTCTTTACATCTGAAGGGGCTTCTTTTTCTGTCAAATGAGCATGCTTACGGTTGCCCTTGGTGGTGACAGCCGTTGTGGCATGTATATTAGGTCTTTGGCAGTGATGGCTCTGTCAGGTTTCGATGTCTCAATTAAAATAAATTGCATTTCCAAACAGATAGTCTTTGAAGAACTCTTTCATTTTATTAAGCACGACAACCTGTCCCCGATCATGGCATAGCCAACTCTGACTTCCTGACCCCAAACCTTCCCTTTCCGTTCCCCAATTCTCTGCGTCTCATTGGCCCCCTTCCAAATCACTCTCCCCATATCTACTACTTAAGCTCCCAGGAATGTCCCCCCTCCCATCTCATCTCCTAGGGGATATTATCTTCAGGGAAATTAAGTAGGTGAGAAGTCAAGCGTCCTCTTGCCAGCTGCCGCCTCTTCTCCTTCTTATGTCAGCACTAGAGTAAATGCAAGTTGAAGTGCTGACAGGCTAACCTTTTCCGGACTGCACCCAGCCCCGCCCCCCACACATGCAAATGTAGCCTCCCCACATGCGCCCGCCTCAGCCCCTGCGCATGCCCGGCAGAGACCCAAAGACCAGCTGGCCGGCAGGAGGTGCACACGCATACGGGACGTAGCTGAGCTGGGGCGACAGTTTACGTGCCCACAGAGAGGGTGCTGTGTGCCACCTCTGGCACGCATGCCATAGGTTCACCATCACTGGCCTATGGGTTCCTGTTTGTACAGGTAGACCTTGACTTACAACAATTCATTTAGTGACCGTTGAAAGTTACGATGGCACTGAAAAAAGTGACTTACGACCATTTTTCACGCTTACAGTTGTTGCAGCATCCCCCTGGTCACGGGATCACAATTCAGACACTTGGCAACTGGCTCATATTTACGATGGTTGAATTGTCCCAGGGTCATGTGATCACCCTTTGGCGACCTCCTGACAAGCGAAGTCAATGGGGAAACCAGATTCACTTAACAACCCTGTTTCTAACTTAACAAATTGCAGTGATTTCACTTAATCACTGTGGCAAGAAAAGTCGTAAAATGGGGCGAAACTCACAACAAATTTCTCACTCAGCAACATTAATTTTGGGCTCAATTGTGGTGGTAGGTCGAGGACCACCTGTATTACTGTCACTCCTGTATCATTTTAACAACCATGTCACTAGCTTAATAACCAGAGGGATTCACTTAACTGTGGCAAAAAAAGGTAAAATGGGACAAAACTCAATTCACAAATGTTTCACTTAGCAACAGAAATGCTGGGCTTAATTGTGGTCATAAGTCAAGGACTACATGTCTAGTAACTAGTTTGTATACATGTCTTCTTTCCCCCCCCTGAACATCTCCATGTATAATTCCCGGTGCTCTTCTGCTGATTTTTTTTAGGCAGTGGTGGATGCCAGATACCGGAGGAGCAAATATTCCAGCGCTAAACGATCTTCTCTCTGTCTGGGGCATGGCCTTTAGCGATGGGCTCTACGAAGGAGACTTTACGTTGGAAAGCCAGGAAAGTAAGTACAGGTAGTTCTCACCTAACGACAATTACGCTAGTGACGGTTCGAACTTATTCAGCAAACCTCCCCAAAGGATTCTGTGATGGTAACGGCCATTATTTATGGTTCCACCACATCTCATGGGACTTAATTCGAGTTATGTACAAATCTATGTACTGTATTTTTCGGACTATAAGATGCATGGGTGTATAAGATGCACCAAGATTTCGAAGAGGTAAGTAAGAAAAAAAAAGTTTTTGTCCTTTCCGGCCCCCAGGAGCACTCTGCAGGCCTCCCAAACCCCCTGCACGCCCCATTTTTGCGAGAAGGCCCAGTTTTCGCAAAAATGGGACGAGCAGGGCGGGGCTTCAGGAGGCCAAAAATGGCTGTATTCAGTATATAAGACGCCCCAACATTTCCACCCTCTTTTAGAGGGGAAAAAGGTGCGTCTTATACTCTGAAAAATACGGTAGTTTCTCTTTGAAATGGGCTTCCCATCGTGAGTCTAACATGCAATGAATAAGCAACTGTCCTTATTGTTTGTAGAAATCTAGGGTTGGAAGGGTCCTTAGAGGTCTACTCCAACCTCCTGTTCTGCCCCCCGTCCTCACACAGACAAATGCAATATCAAACACGCCTGCCAATAATTTATTGGATAAACAGACCTGAATTCCTGGCAGACGTGAGTTCTGGCAGCTAACTGTAAAACGCCTGCCAAGTCCAATTAGTACTCCCAAAAAGCAGGAGAAACCTTATCTGCAGTGCGTTTCCAGAGCGACAAATTATCCACAAGAGTTTAGTCCAAAATATATCTGAGCCGAAGTGCAGGATTCATGATGTGACTCTTTAGAGTTTAAACTTTTGTCCATCACAAAGCCTGCCGAGCAATCACGCCCCCTTTTATCCCTTGTGGGGCGTGGCTCAGTGACTCAGCTCAATCCCTGGCCCTCCCACGCCTCTTCCTTTGCTGCGCATGCTTCTCCCTCCGACGTTGCCTGGGATCAAGCCAGGATTCATCATTATCACTCTCTATCAATGGGTGCTCCGAAATACCTTCCTCCTGGCCCATCCCAGGCTGTTCCTCCTGGCCTTCAGATGGAACCTGAGGCATTGTCAGAGAGGAGGGTCCTGGAGAGGGAGGCCTTGCCAGTTCCTCCCCCTCACCTTCTGAGTCCTCTTCTTCCATGAGGACAGGCTCGGGAGTCGGAGTCACAACAATTAACAGATTCCATTGCTTGTCAGAACTTTCAACACCTTCCTTTGGGTTTGATAAAGATCAGATAGAGCAAATAGTTCTCAATCTTTTCTTCAACCACAAACCCGATGTCAGCATTCCAGTGCTGACATATGAAAAGAGAGGAGAAGCTTGAACTTTTGCCTGCTTAATTCCTTTGAAGATTCTGTTTCCTCGGAGATGGGAGGAGGGGGGGACATTCCTGTGATCTGACGGAGATGGGCTGAGGAGAGTGGCTTGGAAGATAGCCAATGAGACGCAGAGAATTGGGGATCGGAAAGGGAGGGCTTGGGGGGCAAAGGTCAGTGCTGACCGCAAAAGAGCCAGGGACAGATCACTATGCTCAATAAAGAGAAAATTTCCTCAAAAGATCGGCAGTTTGGAAATTCATTTATTTTGAGATAGCATCGAAACCTGACAGACGGTCAGCACTGACCTTTGCCCCCCAAGCCCCCCCTTTCCGACACCCCCTTTAAATACCTTTTATGGACACGGAGCACAGCTTTAACTCAAGATTTAAATCATAACATTTCGTCAAGCCTTGAGCCATTCGGAATCAGGCCATGGAAGGGATGGGCGAGCATGCACGCACATCCCCACTCACACAAGCAGCGTGGGCGTACATGCGTGCCCTGCCACTCGCACAAATGGAGCCACACACACATGCTTGGCCACCGCTCTTCTGGAACCATCCCTTGTCCCCCACCCCCTCCCTCCCCCACCCCGGTCTGCAAAGCTGAAAAGTTTGGGGAACCCTGGTCTTAACACATCTACGTGTGTATTTTATTTTCAGTGAATTATGCCTCAGGATGTAGTATCGCAAAATTTCCAGAAGATGGCGTTGTCATTGCACAGACTTTTAAGGATCAAGGTACCGAGTTCCTCTTTTGTGTTTCATCTTCTTCTACATGTGATCTTGTATCTTCTGCTTTCTTTTCAGGAGAAAAGCTTAGGGCTGTGATGGCGAACCTATGGCATGCGTGCCACAGATGGCACACGGAGCCATATCGGTGGGCACGCGAGCATTGCCCTAGCTCAGCAAACAGGCCCTTTCCGGGCTCTGGAGGGCCTCTGTGTGGGGGGGAAGGCCGTTTTCGCCCTCCCCAGGCTCCTAGAAAGGCTCTAGAGCCTGGAGAGGGCGGAAAAAACGGGGCTACCGGGCCCACCGTGTCATCATGTGCCAAAAGCGTGGTGAGCGCGGGGGGGGCAGGGTACATTAAATTATGGGTGTGGGCACGCACACGCATGACTCCCCTGCACTCCCCCCCCTTTTGGCATGCGACGGCAAAATGGTTAGCCATCACTGGCTTAGGGAAACCTGCCATTCATATAGGTAATCTGTTCATTGGGAGGTGCAGGAAGCATGTTATTTAAAGTGTACTAAGTGCCTATGAAATGAAGGGAATTGAATTTTATCTCTCTGTTTGAGGGAATGTACTTTGATCCTTTATTATTTCATTTCCTAAGACTCCTAGGCCACTGAATTTCCCCTAAGCAGCTTTCTGAATGCCAAAATATAGGATTACAAACACCTGACATATAAAGTACCAGCAGCATAAAATAACAATTATGCACTGTGAACGGTGTTAACCTCCAGTGAGGTCAGGCATCCCGGAATATGTTCCTAAGGAGACCTCCAGAATCTTAGGGAGGTGTAGAAGAAGATAGGATATTTCGGGTAAACAGTTGCATAGAAGAGATCTTCACTGAAAAGCCATCACTGAAAAGTTTTACCCCCAGATGATGATCTGCAAAACAAAGAGAGAGAGAGATTACAATCATTTGTTTAGTGACCGTTCAAAGTTTCAACGGCACTGAAAAAAGGGACTTTTTTTTAACATTGCAACATGCCCGTGGCCATGTGATCAAAATCCCGGCAACTGGTTCATATTTATGACGGTTGCAGTGTCTCAAGGTCATGTGATCATTTTCTGAGAAGCAAAGTCAAGGGGGAAGCCAGGTTCACATAACAACCGTATAACTATCTTAGCAACTGCGGTGGTTTGCTTAACAACAGTGGCAGGAAAAGCTGTAAAATGAGGCAAAACTCTCTTAACGATTGTCCCTCTTAGCAATAGGAACTTGGGGCTTCGTTGCGGTCGTAAGTCGAGGACTACCTGTGTTCTAAACTGGCTGAAGCTTCCGGGTGCTGTTGGATGGATTTTGATCCCTTTTCTCTCTCCCTTCCCTCCTAGGTCTGGAGGTTTTAAAGCAAGAGACGGCCACCGTGGAACACGTCCCCATTTTGGGCCTTTTCCAAGTTCCCACAGAAGGTGGGGGCCGGATAGTTTTGTACGGGGACTCAAACTGCCTGGACGACAGCCACCGGCAGAAAGGTGTGTAAAACTGTGCCATGAATTCCGGTTATCACAACACTCTGCTAAACACCTAATTCCCATAACCCTGTCAAATTATTTAGTAAGGCTGTATTACTGTTATTCTTTTCATCTTTCCTATTACCTACCTCCCTTTCTACTTATGACTGTAACTTCATGGCTTGTATCTTTACAATTTATATTGTTTTATATAGTTTCCTAGTGTGATTTATGTTGATTGCTTATTTAGTATCCTATGACTATCATAGGTTGTATCTTCTTTGTGTGTCCAATCACACTTGGCCAATAAAAAATTCTATTCTATTCTACTCTACTCTATTCTATTTAATTAATTTAATTTAATTAATTCAATTTATATGCCGCCCCTCTCCGAAGACTCAGGGCGGCTATTCTATCCTATCCTATCCTATCCTATCCTATCCTATCCTATCCTATCCTATCCTATCCTATCCTATCCCATCCCATCCCATCCCATCCCATCCCATCCCATCCCATTGGGAGTTGGGCGTCATAGAAATATGATTAATTAAATTAAATTAAATTAAATTAAATTAAATTAAATTCCATTCCATTCCATAACAATACCAAAGGTGCTTTTCCAAGAGGCAACTGGACTTTCTGGTTTTTCTCAGAAGATGTTTTGCTTCTCATCCAAGAAGCTTCTTCAGCTCTGACTGGATGGTGGGGAATGGAAGAACTGTGTCTACAACACAGTCCTTTCAGCAGTTCCAAGAAGGCTCCACATCCATTTGCACTACTCAGGTGACCCTGAGGACACAGACAAACCTCCAAGTGGCCTCAACGGCCCTCTAAAAGGATGCAAATGACCATCTCTGTCTGCAGGGAATATCAATCCTTCCATTCCCCACCATCCAGTCGGAGCTGAAGAAGCTTCTTGGATGAGAAGCGAAACGTCTTTAAAAAAAACCCCAGAAAGTTCAGCTGCCTCTTGGAAAAGCACCTTTGGGACAACTAAGATCTGGAGGACTGAGGATCTCCCTAGATCTTTAGAGCAATGTTTTTCAATCTTGACAACTTGAGAATCCATGGACCAACTCCCAGAATTCTGGCTGGGGAATTCTGGGAGTTGAAGTCCAGAGGGAATTCTGGGAGTTGAAGTCCAGAGGTCCTCATTGGACTAGAGAACGGTGCTCCATTCTGTTTTTAGCCCTGAAGTAGAAAAGTATTGAATATGGCATCAGCCAGCCTTTTACGTTAAGAATCGGAGGCGGTGACTCCCTCTGTGACTTCAGTAAGCTTAGCGGTGTTTAAAATTCCTCACATACATCATTTATAAATCCTAAAAATGTGTCTGACCTCTGTATTAGAGCGAAAAGAAATCAAAGGTGCGCATTTCGGGGACATGGGGATTACGAAGATTAATATCCATTCCCACCGAAGAGTAACGTGGGATGGGGGAAGGATTTTGCGAAAATGCCTTTGAACTGTGTTTAAATGATTTGAGAGCTAAATCTCACTATCAGCTCCAAGACGAGGGTGGGAAATCTTAGCTAATTTCAGGTCTCAAAATCACATTTTCCATCCTCCACATGAAACGCTGTGGCATTAAAACTTTCAAAGGAAATGTGCTAGCCATAAAAGGCATCGTTTATTTTTTTTATTTATTTCTATCCCACATTTCTTTTTTTATTAAGTAGGCAGCAGACATATCTAATACAGGTAATCTCGACTAACGACCCCAATTGAGCCCCCAATTTCTGTGGCTAAGCGACGCAGCCGTTAAGTGAGTTTTTGCACCATTTTACGACCTCTTGTTAAGTGAATCGCTGCCGTGGTTAAGTTAGCAACACAATTGTGAAGGGAACAATGTGTGCTGCCCCAGCTATGGACCCCAAAGAACGCAGCACACACAAAGTCCGTACAAACCTTAGTTTACTAATTAAGGACTACTAATGAGCTTCCTTAGTAGTTGCTCGAACAAAGTACAGTTTAAATCAGTCTTTTCTGAACAAGGGCTGTTAATTTAACTTCATTAACAGCCGACAAGAATCCAAAGAATAATAACTCAATTCTGAGGTACATTATTTCAGATAACCGTAATCTTACTGTGGTTGGCAGAATGCCCAGAAGCAATTTGCAGGAAAACTGACAAGAGAGAAACAAGAGCCGAATCAAACGTTTCTGGAATCAAGACGCAAAGGAACATGAACGAAGTTGTTTCCTGCAAATTGCATCAGTCGTCATCCTTCCTTAAATAGGCTAAGGGAGTGGCCAATTAGCCCCAAGCCTTACTCTCGAGGAGACCTCCTCCTGAGGAGCCACTCCTGCCTTTTAACAGCTCTGCGCTCTCATGCATCGAGAAGAGGCTCCTCCTCTTCTTCCTCTTCACTTATGGGAGCTTCTGGAGGTACTGAAGGCCCTGGCTGAATCCCCGCCCCTGGCACCACATCTTCTCCAGCCTCCTCATTGTCTGACTCGAGTGCCAGCTGCCCAGGCTGCTGGTGCAGCCCCACACCGGCCTCCTCGCTGTCTGAATCAGCTACTAGCTGCACAGACTGCGTACGGGCCACAACACGATGGCTCCCCCATTGACTTTGCTTGTCAAAAGGTCGCAGAAGGAGATCACGTGATCTTGGGACATCGCAACCGTCATAAATATGAGTCAATCACTAAGTGTCTGAATTTGGATCACGTGACCCTGGGGATGCTATAAAACTATTTTCAATGCCTTCGTAACTTTGAAGAGTCACTAAACTAACGTTTGTACGTACATTAAGTTCCTGTACTTCTTGTATAACTGCTTGTGAAGAATACCGGAAGCCACTTAATACCGTTTTTCCTTCTTTTCAACTTTTTTTCCCCTTCTCATTTCTTGCCCTTTATACTTTTTCTTTCATTTCTTTTATTTTTTTCTTCCCCTTCCCTACTTTATGTTACTTTGTGATAGATTTTTAATCTCCTTGTTTAAAAGTTTTAATAAAAATTACGTGCAAATTGATTGGACGCCCACACACTGTGTTAAATGGAGCCAGCGGCATAGCTTAATGTGATGAATAAGCCTAGATTTCGTTCAGGGGTTGCAATTAGTTTCCTCGTCGTCTGAAGAACTCCGTTTTGACGTGGTATCTGAGTTGACAAAATGTTATTTGCGGTCAACGGGTAACCCAGAATTGGAAAACAGGCTTGGAAACCACGTTTTCAAGTCAAAGTTTTTTATAGCTGGTAGGATGTATTAACTGCAAAGCATGGGGCTTATGTGCTGTTATTGCAACCTCCGAAGAATATTCATTTAAAAAAAAGAAACAGGCAGCGGTGAAGAAGGCCGAAGCAGAAGCAACAGCAGTTCATTGAGTGACCCTTCCAAGTTACAACAGCACTGAAAAAACAGTGACCTGTGACCAGTTTCCACACTTACGACCGTTGTAGCCACCTCCATGTTCGTGCAATCAAAATTCAGACGCTTGGCAATGGACTCACGTTTATGACAGTTGCGGTGTCCTGGGGTGTGTGTGTTTGTGTGTCATGTGATCCCCATTTGTGACCTTCTGACAAGCAAAATGGGGAGGCCAGATTCACTTAACAACCGTGTGACTAACTTAACGAATGCAATGATTCGCTTAACAACTGTGGCAGGAAAGGTCATACAACGGGCCAAAATTCACTTCACGAATGTTTCGCTTAAGCAACGGAAATGTTGGGCTCAGTTGTGGTCGTAAATCAAGGACTACCTGTAATCTGGTGCTGTATTTCAAAGTTCTTATAGGTAGTCCTTGAGTTCCAACCGTTCCTTTAACAGCACTGAAAAAAGGCACTTTTGACAGGTCTTTGCTTTAAAGACCACCCCTGCAACGCACCTATAATCACCTGATTGCAATCTGGGTGCTTAGCCAACCTGCAGGTAATTATGACGGTTGGCACATCCTGGGATCACGTGATCACCATTTGCCATCTTTCCAGGTGGCTTCTGACAAGCTGTTGTGGCCCGTCAGCGGCCTGTGCAGCTAGTAGCTGATTCTGACAGCGAGGAGGCTGGTGTGATGCGCCAGCAGCCTGTGCAGCTGGCACTCGAGTCGGACAATGAGGAGGCTGGAGAAGATGTGGTGCCAGGGGCGGGGATTCAGTCAGGGCCTTCAGAACCTCCAGAAACTCCCATAAGTGAAGAGGACGAAGAGGAGGAGCCTCTTCTCGATGCACGAGCATGCAGAGCTGTTAAAAGGCAGGAGTGGCTCCTCAGGAGGAGGTCTCCTCGAGAGTAAGGCTTGGGGCTAATTGGCCACTCCTATTTAAGGAAGGATGACGACTGATGCAATTTGCAGGAAACAACTTCGTTCATGTTCCTTTGCGTCTTGATTCCAGAAACGTTTGATTCGGCTCTTGTTTCTGTCTTGTCAGATTTCCTGCAAATTGCTTCTGGGCATTCTGCCAACCACAGTAAGATTACGGTTATCTGAAATACTGTGCCTCAGAATTGAGTTATTATTCTTTGGATTCTTGTCGGCAGTTAATGAAGTTAAATTAACAGCCCTTGTTCAGAAAAGACTGATTTAAACTGTACTTGTGTTCGAACAACTACTAAGAAAGCTCATTAGTAGTCCTTAATTAGTAAACTAAGGTTTGTATGGACTTTGTGTGTGCTGCGTTCTTTGGGGTCCGTAGCTGGGACAGAACACAAGCCAAGTCAATGGGGAAGCTGGCAGGAGATCACCACTCACGATTCTGTATATGTCCTGCTTAAAGACATGCGCAAAAGGGACATACAGCTGGGTATGGTCATTCTTCACTTCACTTCATGGCCTCTCTACTAAACAATGGACTTTTTTCAGCCCCAATTGTGGTCATTAAGTCGAGGAGTCCCTGTATTCTACCAAGATTTTGCGTGTTGAAATTTGCTTACTGCCCCTCAATGTGTCTTCTCTCCATTAAGTGAGAGCAATCAACCTGTGGAACAGAAGTTGCCTTGGGAAGTTGTGGGAGCTTCATCCCTGGAAGCTCTCAAGAAGAGACTGGACTGCCATCTGTCAGAAATAGTGTAGGCAGGGTCTCCTGCTTGGGGGGTTGGACTAGATGACCTCCAAGATCCCTTCCAACTCTGTTAATCTGCCTGTTAAGTAACAGAGAACCAAAGACTGTTTCTTCCTCTTTCCTTAGGGGCTTTCGCAGCATATTAGAGTTAGCCGAGTTCCGTACATTTTTCCAATTTCTGCTGAAATCTCTCACTCTGTTTGGATTCACTTCAATTTTTTATACTTCCATCAAATACGGAGGCGCATGTTCTTCACGAGTGGCAGCATTTTGCGTGGTAGTTTGTTACCCCAGCAAAGACATAACATTACTCAGGCTGCCGTCATTTAGCGCCTGTTAGTGGAGCCTATCTTAATTTTATAAATTGGAGCGTGGTCATTAGTGGAAGGCAATTTCATTCGATTTGTTAACACTTTGGTTGGCCTTTGGCTGTAATCAAGGAGAACTTGGTAGAGTCTTTAGCCCTACAGCATTGTGGGCCTCTAAATTTGTAGATTTTTCTTAAAAAGAAAAAAAGAAAAACCCATGATATTGGGTGGCCTGCCCTCCACTAAAACGGCATGCAGTGGAGGCTTAAAAAGTGGAGAGACAATAAGTGAAAAACTCTGGTCTTTTTTTATCGTCTGTTGCGATCAAATTTGTGGGGAGCTTGACTTTGTAGCCAGCTTATACATAATAGCCTTTATATGCCTCTATAATAATAGCCTTATATATAATAGACTCTTTCCTCTTTATTTATTATTAATTAATTAAACTGTATCCTGCCTTTATTATTTTACATTGTAAGTAACCCAAGGCAGTGAAAATACATAATACTCCTTCCTCTTCCTATTTTCCTAACAACAACATCCCTGTGAGGTGGGTCAGACTGAGAGAGGGACTGGCCCAAAGTCACCTAGTTAGCTTTCATATCTAAGACAGGACTAGAACTCACAGTCTCCTGGTGATTGGCCCAAAGTCACCCAGACGGTGATCATCCCTAAAATGAGACTAGAAGTCTTTATCTCCCGGTTTATAATCCAGCATCTTAACCCCCTTAAACCCTACACCAAACTGGCTCTTCCTTTCCACCTAACTTGCCTTCAACATGTACAGCAGTGGCCAAAATTGTGGAAACCTTTTGGGAAAAGTGTATTTTCTAAAACTAGCTCATAACACCACTTTTTTTTTTTTTGAGTAGTACCATAAAATTATATATCAATGGAAAGATAATTGAATCAAGAATGTAATGCAATTTCTTTTATGGAGGATTTGCTATTAGAATAGCAGTTACAGTATAAAGAAGAAAAGTGAAACACGTAGAAAAAACAAGATATACAAAAATTATCACCACGTCAGTTAATACTTAGTTGGGTAACCTTTAGCATGAATTACGGCCTTACAAGGTCTTCCCATGGAGTGAACCAAGTCTTTGAGTTCTGCAGCTGTTATCATGGGAAACCAAGATTGAATGATGGCTTCTATTAACTGGGTTTTATTGCTGGGTCGCTTCTGACTAACAAGTTTTAGTCAGCTCCATAGATTTTCAATTGGGTGAAGGTCTTGGTTATTCCCAGGCCATTCCAGCAGTGGAATAGGATTATCTTGAAACTGCCCCCCAAAAAGTGATGATATTAGCCATCAAACCTCAAAAATGCACTTTTTTCCCCAAAAGGTTTCCACAATTTTGGCCACTACTGTAATTCCAGAGAAGTAAAAGATAAATCCGTGACATTTTCAGCCCCCCCCCCAAAGTAGAGTAAACCTCAGTGGTGCAGAGTGCCAATTCTTCACGGCGCATAGTAGCTGGGAAAACAGATAGCATTGATAGGGATGAATTTAAAAAAAAAAAAAAAAAAGCTAAGAGAAATCCTGCTTCAAGGAACGTGGTTTGCTAACTCGCAATTGGCTGGTTTGGCTGAAGCCAGGGTGAATTTAATATATTTATTTTTGATTTCCCCAGATTGCTTCTGGCTGCTCGATTCCATTCTGCAATATACGTCCTACGGAGTGATGCCACCGAGCCTCAGCCATTCGGAACACAGGCAGCGGCCCCCAACTGGGGCAGGTTATATTCTTCCAGAGAGAATGGAAGGTGGATTTGATTTGATTTTCTTTTTCCGAGTTAGGGCTCAGATTGATGGCATTTGGTGTGGAGGGGAGAGGAAAGGAGGCCTTTGTTATTAATGCTGTCACTTTCAATCTTTTTTCAGGAGTGGAATAAAGGAGAAATTGGGGGGAAGGGGTAAAGGCAGTGGGAGGTTTTCTTTAGAACATGGGGGAACGGGTCAAAAACTGAAGCCCCCTCCCTCCCCAGCAACCCACTTATGGTTGGCAATGTTCTCACCAAAGTGGGCTTGGCTGAGAGTCAGCTTATTTTTATATGCTTTGTGTCAGGGTTCCAAGTAACACCCCCAACGAAAGAAAACTCCAAGGCTTGAAATTCCTCAAAGCTACATTTTATTAGAGATGTCATATTGGCACATCTGGGAAAACCCGAATCTGAAAGCTTCCAGGTTTTCCCCACCCAAAGAAAAGTCCAAGTCCCTGACCAGCACACATGTGTCCATCACACGGTCCAAACAAAACACCATCCCAACGGGAGATGCCTCCCAGTTCCAACCATCCAGGTGCAGGGCACGTTGTCCTTGACGCTCTGAGAAAGGAATGTTATTATGATTACATATCACCCATGCTCCATACAATCCCCCCCCCTCCCAGTTTCCCGCAGTAGTAGATGTGGCAGGTCTGAAGGCCTAACACCAAAGATGGCTTCCAGGCCTTGACACTAAGGCAGTGTTTCTCAACCGTGGCAACTTTTTAAGAGAGGTGGACTTCTGTAGCTACCTGAGGAATTCTGGGAGTTGAAAGTTGCCAAGGTTGAAAATTCTGTAAGTTGAACTCCATGTGCATCTTAAAGCATAGCTGGCTGGGGAAGTCTGGGAATTGAATTCCAACCATCTTAGAGTGGCCAGGATTGAGAAACACTGTTCTAATGAGGGAAAACTTGCAAAGCCTTAAAGTACTAATTTCCCCCCTCTTAAAAACCTCAAATATCCCCCCACCCTCCCTCCAATACCAGACCAATTCCTAATTTGGGGTGATGTTTGCCTCTTGATGCTTTCCCCAGGGGCTGCAGTGTTTGGCGCCATTGTCTCCATTTATTTATTTATTTATTTATTTATTTATTTATTTATTTATTTATTTATTTATTTATTTATGAGATTTATATTGCCGCCTATTTGCACACGGCGACTCAAGGCAGCTTACAAAAATATAAAAACATCATATAAAAAGCAATAAAACTAATAAAATCATATATAATAAAATAATAAAATAAAATAGTCAGTGGTGAAATGTAAAATTTGTTACTACCGGTTCTGTGAACGTGGCTTGGGGTGGGGGGGGGGGTGGTAATGTGACTAGGTGGGCATGGCCAACTTTTTTTTTTTAAACTTTTAAAAGCATTTTTTCTACAACCTCCAAAGAGGTTGTAAAAAAAATACTTTTAAAAGGCTCTGACGATCCCCAGCTGAGTTGCCTGATCGCCAGAGGCTTTTCTTTTAAAAGCATTTTTTTTTTTTGCTTTTAAAAGGCTCTGACGATCCCAGCTGAGCCGCGCGATCATCAGAGGCTTTTTTTTTTTAACTTTTAAAGCAATTTTTTTGGCCGAAGAGGTGGGGGCAGGGATTTTTGCTACCGGTTCTCTGAACCACCCGCCGCCATCGCTACCAGATCGGGCAATCCGGTCCAAACCAGGAGCATTTCACCCCCTGAAAATAGCCCCCTGCCCTGGTGACATCATAAGAGCCATTTAATGGACTCCATCCCATAATTGGCTCCTTTGCTGTTTCTGTACCTCCTGGAATCTGCAGATTTTGCAAAAAAGCAAAGTGCCTCCTTCAGCTTTCTAATCTTTTCCCCAGGATCTGCTGGTTCACTGTCGGTTCTATTTATTGGCAACTCAGCCCATCTCAAGACTCTGAATGCCTTACACAGAACCAAAGTCTTTTTGGCTTGCCTGCTTTAATTGGGGATTTTTAACCATCTCTCTTCTCCTCTCTGTCCCCCCGATAAATGGGGTAAAAGGACAGCTTCAGTAAATCCAGGAGCTAGTTCTCACGCTTAGAAAAAGAAGCCAGCCACAGACTTTTCAAGGATTAATTCCTTCCTTTTCTACGACATTTCCAGGGAACCACCTTCATCGCTACTCCAAAGTGCTCGAGGCTCATCTGCGCGACCCGAAACCCCGCTCTCTTCCGGCGTGTCCTCATTTGTCCTGGGCGAAGCCACAACCTCTGAATGAAACAGCACCCAGGTTGCCATTTTTTTTTAAAAAAAAATGTTGTTTCTGTCTCTTAGTAAAAGTGTTCAGTTTCAAATTTGATTAGTAGATCGATTGAATAATAAAATACGGTATTTTTTGGAGTATAAGACGACCCGGATGAGATGTACCTTAAGTTTTGCGGAGGAAAATAAGGAAAAAAATATTCTGCCTCTGCCTCCATCCGTATTCATCTGGCTAGCGTCCTGTCAGTGTGTGAAAGAGTTGAGGGCTGTTTGGAAACTGAAACAGTATATGCTGTGTGAGCAACAAGGAAGGAGACAGCAAGAAGCCTGGGCGTGGCTTAGGTCAACTGTTCTAAAGCTGCATGCTGTGTTGATGTCTGAAACTAAAACTGAAACTCCTCTCCTCTGCTTGTGTTTTGCTTGTGTTGGAAAAGTACGTCTTATACTCCGAAAAACACAGCAGGTCTTGGGCGTTTGTAAAGGGAAATGTGAAAAGATGTATTTCTAAGGTGCACAGTGATGGCAAACCAGTTGGGCTTGGCATGTTAAAAATTCAGAAAACGTCTACCTTCACTCTGCTGGCGGGTCACACACTCCCCACCCCCAGATAAAAGAGGCCTCTCTAGATTGAGTCTCCTCCACAGACTGTCTGGATGTTGCATGAGAGGGTCCTGCTCTTGCTGGGCGTCTGGAGTGTCCAAAAATCATGTGAGAATACTGGTGCAGTTCCAGAGGGTACAGAGGCCTGATGTAGGAGATGCCCAGGTTGAGCCCGAGGGTGAGGTCAAACATTTCATCAGTCTCGAGTCCTTTCACGCCCACAAGAGATCTACCTTGAATTCCATTGACTCTTATTTACTGCCAATTTGCTTTGACCATTAGTAGTTCAGAATCTTGTAGAGAGAATTAGCATGCAATAAACCCATATTCTTTTGAACTGCCAGGACTCCCGATTTCCTGCGTTTAAAACCTGGTATGTCACTAAAAACGGCACGACATGTCCCCTGTGACATGCATGTCATAGGATCACCATCATCAGTTTAGAAGCAACAAATTGGAAGCCCAGAGGGATGCTGATTTTATTCTCATGAGATCCAGCATGTATCCCACGCTGCCAGATGTCGTGACTGACAGCCAAGCCAAGTAAATTTGGAATGGAATGCCAAGACACACATAGTAGTGGTTGGTAGCCAAGAAGAGCCTCAGAAAAAGGCTGTTCTGAAAACCGATAACAGACTTTAGAAAACATTGCTTGACTTCTTTAAGCAGATATTTCTGCAATCTCCTTGGTTGACTACCCAGCTCTGACTGAACCAGGCTAAATCAGCATCTCCCAGAGTGAGACCTGTTGTGGGGATTACACCTGAGGCCCTCAAGAACGATTCCTCCCTTCCCTCCTCTTGTTTTCTTTCTAGATATTTGTTAAATTTAGAATCATGGAATTCATTATTGGCCAAGTGTGATTGGACATGCAAGGAATTTGCCCCTGGTTCAAAGGCTCTCACTGTACATACAAACAACAAAGGGATAGGCATTTATCATAGATCATAGTTACAATCATTACTCATAATATATAACAAGTGATAAATGATAAGATACCAATAGGAGAAGGTAGTAGGAAAGATGAGAAAATGAGGAGGATAACAATAGCAATACAACCCTACTACATGGGTAAATATCTTTAAGAGTGCTGTGAGAAGAGTGGTGCGGTGGCCTAGAGGTGGGGCTCTCGCCTCGCAATCCGGAGGCTGTGAGTTCGATCCTAGGTAGAAGCACATATTTTTCTCTCTGTGCACATTGAGAATATATCTGCTGAACAAAACTCTGCATTGGCAACAGGAAAGGCATTCGGCCATTAAAACACTCCGCTAGCTCCATTCAGTTGCCCTTGCTCCACCCTGCAGATGATGATAAGAGTGCTGTGAGAATTCAGTGTTCAGCAGGGTGGTAGCATGTGTTGTGTGGGGCGGGGAGGAAATACCTTTGTGCCTACCTGTTTTGGCATGCAATGCCCTATAGTGGCATCCAGAGATGAGAAGTTGAAACAGTTGATGTCCAGGATGTGAGGGGTCTGTAGATATTTCCCCTCTTTTTCTGCTAGTCTCAATTGACCTAGAAATCCAGAGTTTGATTTGATTTTGTCTCTTCCAGCAACCTTTGGAAACATCAGAAGTTATTATCGATTGACCTGGATAAAGTGGCATTGCCAAGCTTCCACCAGAACCGGCCCCAAGTCAGACCTTTATCACCGGGAGAGAGTGGAGCATGGAATATTCCAGGAGGTAAGTACAGTGGAATTGCCCTGAAGTTCATCCCTTCATTTTAGGGCATGTCTGGTCTACCAAATTTTACCAGTTTTGGTCGCCAACAATGTAAAAAAGATGTGGAGACTCTAGAAAGAGTGCAGAGAAGAGCAACAAAGATGATGAGGAGATTGGAGGCTAAAACATATGAAGAACTGGTGCAGGAACTGGATATGTCTAGTTTAATGGAAAGAAGGACTAGGGGAGACAGGATAGCAGTGATCCAATATCTCAGGGGCTGCCACAAAGAAGAGGGAGTCAAGCTATTCTCCAAAGCACCTGAGAGCAGACAAGAAGCAATGGGTGGAAACTAATCAAGGAGAGAAGCAACTTAGAACTAAGGAGAAATTTAGCGACATAACAAAATTATATAACGACCGTTTGTAGTTACAATGGTGATGAAGAAGTAACTTTGTGACCAGTTCTCAGGTCTGTAAAGCCAAGGGAAAGCTTTATAAGATTGTAAGCAGGATCTTTGGGAAAGAAACATAAAAATTAGCTACTACATACAAAGAAAATTTATACAAGATGTTTTATAGGTGGCATCTCCCACCCACAAGATTAGCAAAAATAAACAAAAAACATTCGTCAATGTGTTGGAAGTGTGAGGCAGTGCCAGGGACCTTTTATCACATGTGGTGGGAATGCCCAAAAGCCACAAAATTTTGGCACCAGATAAGACAATGTATAGAAGAGATACTAACGCAAAACATAGAAGCAAAACTGGAATTCTTTCTACTAGAGGGCAAATACAACAAGAGCGCAATTTACCTAATGTTACATATTCTAACAGCAGCAAGATTGGCTTTTGCACAAAAAATGGAAAAACAAAGAGACCCCCACAGAAGAAGAAGTGTTAGCTAAAATATTAATTTGTGCGGAAATGGACAGACTGACATTGGAACTTAAAGATAAGAACGAATCAGAGTACTATGAAATCTGGAACAAATTTTATTATTGGCTAGAAAGGACGAATGCTGGGATATAGGATCATTGACGAGTAAAATGATTAGAAGTTTTTATGCCAATTTGTTATGATAGATACGATTGAATTAGATATCGGTATAATCTATGTGGATGAAAGAATATATATATTTGACATGTGATAATTAGTGTAAATATGTATATAGAGAAGGAAGTGTATCAATTATATGACAAAATTTGATGAAAATGTTTAAACCGGAAATGTCACACTATGTCCATTATTTTTAATTTGTATTATAAATAAAAAACTTTTTTAAAAAAAGATTGAAGTATGGTTGTGGTTTTACTTAGCTTTGCTTAATGACTTTATCTAGGTTTGTTTAATGACCAAGTTACTAGTCCCTATTGTGGTTGCTAAATGAGGATTACCTGTATAATATAAAGCGGGGCATGCCCTCCAGGGCTACTCTGAATGCAGCTCTCTTTTAAATAATCTTCAGGAAAATAGTTGTGTTAAAAAAACGTCCTCTGGTTCCCCATCTGATGAGTTTGGTGATCTTTAAAACCCAAATATCTCAAAGATAAGAGCTGCTGTTTTTGTTCCTTCCGTGCTCACATCCTAACCAGAATCCTAAATGGATGAAAATGTGGGCTGAAGAACATAAGAAGAAGAATGTATTTATTTATTTAGGACTGTTTCTAAATTGCGAGGTTCTTTTTTTTTTAAGATAGCTGACTTAGCCTTGCCTCTTTCCAACTAATTTGCTGATCTGATGGGAGCTTTTAACTTTCATTCTTGGGGATTTTAATTGAGTATTTTAGTTGTAATTTTTACTGTTTTATTGTTTTATCTTTGTGAGCCGCCCCGAGTCCTTCAGGAGAAGGGCGGCATATAAGTATAAATAAACTAAACTAACTAAACTCTTGTCACGAACCCATCTTTTCTTCATACAGCTTTCATTAGCTTGATCAGATCAGAATAATTCCTTCAGTGTCTATATTATCCATTGCTGTTGGTATCCTTTTAAAAATAATACAGCATTTTTAATTGCACAATAGGAGCGAGGATGATATACATAACGTTTAGAGACCGATTATATGGTTTTACGTGTTTTTAAATACAGGTAGCCCTCAACTTACGACCATAATTGAGCCCAAAATTTGTTGCTGAGTGAGAAATTTGTTAAGTGAGTTTTGCCCCATTTTACGACTTTTCTTGCCACGGTTGTTAAGTGAATCTGACTTCGCTTGTCAGAAGGTCGCAAAAGTGGATCACGTGACCCCAGGGACTCTGCAACCGCCATAAATGAGCCAGTTGTCAAGCATCCGAATGTAAATTGGGTGACCGTGGGGATGCTGCAACGGTCATAAGTGTGAAAAAATGGTCACCAGTCACTTTTTTCAGTGCCCTTGTAACTTCAAACGTTCCCTAAGCAAACTGTTTGTAAGTCAAGGACTACCTGTTTTATTGCATCCTGGGGGTTTTTGTTTTGTCTTCAGTCACAGAACGCCTTTGAGATGATATATAAATATCATGATATATATATGATACCGTGTTTCCCCGAAAATAAGACCCTGTCTTATTTTATTTTTTTGAACCCTGAAATAAGCGCGTGGCCTTACTGCCATGCGCTCCAAAGCCCAATTGGGCTTATTATCAGGGGATGTCTTATTTTGGGGGGAATGGGGTAGATAGAGAGAGAGAGAGAGAGAGAGAGGAGAGAGAGAGAAGGAAGGAGGGAGGGAGGGAGAGGAAGATTGAGAGAGAGAGAGAGAGAGAGAGAGATGACAGATATATAGATACCATGTTTCCCCGAAAATAAGACCCGGTCTTATATTTTTTGAACCCTGAAATAAGCACTTGGCCTTATTGCCATGCGCTCCAAAGCCCGATTGGGCTTATTATCAGGGGATGTCTTATTTTGGGGGAAACAGGGTAGATATGATATAAATATGATATATTTATATGATATATACAATCGAAGCAATAAATCAATAATACAACACCTTGCAAATAAAAGCATCTCTTTATGAAAAAGACTTTAAAAACGGAATGTCATTTCCTGGAAAGACTTGATAAATTTTGCCTGTGGATTTTTCACGTGGACCTTTTTTGCTTCCCTTTGCAGGAATCATGCCCGGACGCTACAATCAGGACGTGGGAGGGACGATTCCCGTCTTCGCTTTCCTCGGTGCCATGGTGGTCCTGGCCTTTTTCGTGGTCCAAATCAAGTCCAAGAGCAGGCCAAAGAGACGGAAACTTCGAGTCAAACGGCCACAAATCATACAGCAAGGCCACCTTCCAAAGACGCCCTCCGTTTGATTGCTGCAGCCAAAGATGGATCGCTTTTTCCCTGACTGCTTTGTGGAATTGCGATCGACTGCTGAAGACCGTTGTCCTTGAACCTAGCACCCATCTCCTTTTGCCTTGGGTGATTGGCAAGTGAGGTCTCCACGGACGATCTTCAGATTTATAAAAAAACCCACGCTATTATTTTTCAGTAGCTGAACTAACCAAAGGCTTAAACGCTATTTAAGAAGGAGTCAGTTGCTTCTGAGTTTGGCAAGATCATCTTCTTCTTTTTTTTTTTTCCTTTTGACATTGACCAAACCTTTTCATTAGAGGCTATTTTCTGTATTTATTTTCAGAAGGGACCAGGGGAAGATTCTCATCAAGGCTCTTGACTCACGGATGGCGGCACCATTTTTTTTTTTTCCCCCTGAATGGTGTGCCTTTTTTAAAAATTTTATGTTCTCTCTTTATGAAGACAAATAGAACTCAGGTCATCCTCCTGTAAGGATGAGAAAGAAACCGACAGTTTGAACAAAGTAGGAGCAAATCGGTGTGGCTGATTTGTCTGATCAGTGCGGACCTGTAGTCCTTTCATTTATTTTTTATAAAAGCAACTTACCATGAGGGTTTTGTAATTCTTCAGCATGATTTCACTGTTGCTGGTGGACAAATTTTTTTTCAATAAATATGCTATCTCTATTGAAACGGAAACAACAAAGAGGCAGCTCTTCCCCCTTATGCTAAATGAAAGAGAAAGTGCTGATAGGAGAAATTATATGTAGTTTAGGATTGGAACCGTGGGACTTTTAGTGCCCTCTGAGCTTGGTGTTTTCTTGCGGGCATTTCATTACCCAACTAGGTAACAACATCAGTGCTAGAAGGGAATGGGACCTGCGAAAAGGAGGAGGAAGTGTGTGTGGTGCTTGGTGTTCTCTGAGCTTGGTGGTGTTTTTTTTTTGGAAGATGTTTCATTACTAAACTAGGTTACATCATCAGTGCTAGGAGTGGAGTTTGCTCCCTGTTTATATACAACTGGATTGGCCTGTCAGTGTAGGTGGGACAACAGCCTAATCCAAGAACTACCATTAACATTTTTATTGAGTTATAAAGTAATGTAAAATACAAAAGTAAATAGGAAAGCAGTGAGGAGCAAAAGGGGAAGGAGAAGTGAGGAAAGGTAAGATTAAAAAAAAAACCATTGACTTCCGACTGTTACAGTAAAATAAGGCATTTAACATCAAATCACAACTTTCTGCTTTTTCATAAAAATAAAAGCAAAAAATTGTGATTTGATGTTAATGCCTTATTTTACTGTAACAGAGAGTTGGAAGTCAATGCTTCTTTTTCTTACCTTTCCTCACTTCTCCTTCCCCTTATCCTCCTCACTGCTTTCCTATTTACTCTGTATTTTAGAATAGAATAGAATATAATTTTTTATTGGCCAAGTGTGATTGGAGACACAAGGAATTTGTCTTGGTGCATATGCTCTCAGTGTACATAAAAGAAAAATTTTGTATTTTACATTACTTTATAACTCAATAAAAATGTTAATGGCCTAATCCAAGAACTACCAAGAAGAAAACAGCCCTTCACCAATACTGGCAGGGAAAGCTACTTGTATCTAAACAGGGAGAAAACCCCACTCCCTTTCCAGCATTGATGATGTAACATACTTTGGTAATGAAACGTCCACAAAAAAGCAACCAAGCTCAGATAGCACCAAGAACCTCACAGGAGGAGAAAGTCAAATAATATGGGGAACTATTCTACGTCCCCTATTCCCCCGTGACCATTTCTGAACATTTTACATATACAGCTTCAGCAAAAGACAGTCCCTCTTAAGTCCCATTGAGAACAATTTCCAGAGTGAGAATCTATAAAACCGGGAGCCTTATCCGTTTTTAAAGAGAAACAAAAACTAAGGTGACAGAAATATTTCAGGAGCTAATTAGTATATCAAAGAATGGGATGAGCAGGAAGATATCTCAGACCTGTGAAAAATTAAAAAAAAAAAAAAATAGGATGATGAATTTCCATCTAGCCTGGCTCACAAAAATGTGTGTCTTGAATTAGTCCCTAAAGGGCTATTAAGGCTCTTTCACGCTTTGATGGAATTCAGAGGGATTGAAGTGGTGGGATTTAAGCCTTTATCTTATTACCGACTCTCTCTCTGCCTGTGCCTCGCTTTTCTGCTAAGTTGTGTCATGTCTTCACACCACATGGCTGGTCTTTACAAAAACACCAACATCATGTGAAATGTGAGAATCTCCCAAGGCTTAAAAATGCTATCTTTCCCGTGCACTAAAGACAACCTGTAGCACTATCATTGGGGCGGATTGTGTGAATGTAGCCACTGCCTTGCTGCTTAATGATCCTGGCTAATCCACTCAGAGACCCCTTCCAGAAGGAACTAGATAAACATCCTTGGATAAATAACATGAAATTGCATATACCGTATTTTTTGGCGTATAAGACGCACCTTTCCCCCCCCCTAAAAGGGGGTGAAAATTGAGGTGCGTCTCATACACTGAATGTAGCCCCGCCCACCCACTGGTCCCCACCCTTTGGCCTCTGCCTCGCAGCAGTTACCTCCTTGCAAGCAAACAGCAAGAAAAAAACAGCTCCTTTCAGCTTCAGCACAGCCTAATTAGCACAAGTTGATTAGATCGGCCTCCCGACTCTCAGCTGATTTGCTCTCAACTGTTTTGCGCAGGGCTCTGCTGCTTGCTGCAAAGAGTAAATTGTTGGAGCAGATTTTTTTTTCCTTGCGCTAATCAAGCTATGCTGAAAACGAAAATGAAAGTAAAGCAGGCTGTTTGCTGTTCGCTGCAACCAGGCAAAATTGCTCAGAGGCAGAGGGAGATTTCTTTTTCTTCTTTTTCCTCACCAAAAAAGGTAGGTGCGTTTTATAGTCCGAAAAATACGGTATATATATATATAGAGAGAAGAGAGAATGGGTTTCCTCCTCATTGTCATAATTCTACAATTTGAGCCTTCCCGGATGAAACCAACTGATAGTATTTTCAAGCAAAGCAAAATAAAATTTCTTTACGTAGCACAAAAGTGGCAGTGGGATTTTATCCATTTTATTGTTCAACACGTTCCTGGTGCTCACCCATTTCGCATGCCTGGTTCTAGATGGCACACATGGTTTAAAAAAAAAAATACAGATTATTAACTGGAATACTAACAACAACAACAACAAAAAAACCCATTAAAGCAATTTTTTAAAAATATAAAGGAGCATTACCCACCCTATTGGCCTTTCGAAAAGCGGTTAAGACCTGGTTTTCAGTGGTTGTAGACATCCCTTACCCAAACTAGGTAATGTCCTCGGTGCACTGATGACTCTACTTTCCGTATTTTTCGGACTATAAGACTCACTTACCTTTTTTGGTGAGGAAAACAAGAAAAAGAAATCTGCCTCTGCCTCCCAGCAATTTTGCCTTGTTGCAGCAAACAGCCTGCTTTATTTTTGTTTTCTTCAAAGCTTGATTAGCACAAGGGGGAAAAAAAAATCTGCTCCCAACAATTTAACTCCTTGCAGCAAGCAGCAGAGGCCCACCCAAAACAGCCGAGAGTCAGGAGGCCGATCCAATCAACTCGTGCTAATTAGGCTGTGCTGAAGCTGAAAGGAGCTGTTTCTTCTTGCTGTTTGCTGCAAGGAGGTAAACTGCTGGAAGGCAGAGGCCAAAGGGTGGGGACCAGTGGGTGGGCGGGGCTACATTCGGTGTATAAGACACACCTAAATTTTCACCCCCTTTTAGGGGGGGAAAGATGCATCTTATGCGCTGAAAAATACGGTAGTTTGATAATGAAACGTCTGCCAGAAAAGCACCAAGTTCAGGGAGCTCCAAGGACCCCACTGGTATCAGCATCATTGCTTTAATTCACTAGGGGTGGAGATGTACAGTTGGGTATCATCAACACACTGATGGTCCCTCATCCCACAGTGATGGATGTCACTTTTTTTATATATTTAAATCAAGGTTAGGTGTGAGTATAAATCCCCATTTTGGAAACCATGTCCCAATCCCATTGAGTTATTGTGCTTGCAAAACCTGATGTCTATGGAGATTCTCGGGTCATGGTAGTCCCAAAGGTGTATTTTTCAAGAGGCAATTGGACTTTCTTGTTTTTCTTTGAAGATGTTTCACTTCTCATCCAAGAAGCTTCTTCAGCTCTGACTGGATGGTGGGGAATGGAAGAACTGTGTCTACAACACAATCCTTTCAGGAGTTCCAAGAATTGGAACCACTTGCACCACTCAGGTGACCCTGAGGACACAGACAAACCTCCAAGTGGCCTCAACGACCCTCTAAAAGGATGCAAATGACCATCTCTGTCTGCAATGGAATCCTTCCATTCCCCACCCTCCAGTCAGAGCTGAAGAAGCTTCTTGGATGAGAAGCAAAACGTCTTCAAAAGAAAAAACCAGAAAGTGGAATTGCCTCTTGAAAAAGCGCCTTGAAAAAGCAAAGCTTGAGTTGCTTTTGGTCTTTCTGAATTAAATTAGTTTGTGTCCTGTGCACAACACAGGAACCTTAAACAGCTGGCAAACGTGTCACTGGCATCGATCTTAGACATCAGAACTTTAATTTGCAAATTCCCTCATTTATGCAATGATGGTAGGAGACAAATGAATTGCACTACGTTCTCGTTTGCTCGGGAGACATCCATTCACACAGCCATAAATTGTCAGAATTTGCAGAGCAGTCTAAACTCCTATCAATGCTAACTAGAATTCAAATTAACCAAGTTTATTATAGCTGTGTAATTTGGGGATTTATTAGTCTATCTGGAGAAAACGCTTTGGGGAAGGCTAAATTAATCCGAAAGGATTTTTGCCCTTTGAAGTGTCACAGCAGAGAGAATTACCACAGCAACCAGCATCTCTCTTGGCAGAACTTCAGGGAGGACAAGCAAGGATTTTTCTTCATTTGAAGAACCACACAAATCAGTGTCATAAATTGCAACAAGTTTAGTGGAATGTAAAACCGTTGCAAATTCAAAATGCAGTTCAGATGGGCCATTTTGAGGTTGAAAACAGCTGTCCTGACTATTCTGGAAATATTCTGGGCTGGTGGTGAATATGTGTAATGTTGTATTGTTCTCCAAGTTGTTTCAGTAGCGTTTTAAGGTAACATCATCAGTTCGTTAACTTTGGCAAACATCAGAACCTTAATTTGCAAATCCCCCCCCCATCTATGCAATGATGCCATGAAGTAAATATATTGCACCATCTTCTTGCTCTGTAAACATCCACTCGCACAGCCGTAAATGATCAGGATTTGCAGAATTGGCTAATCTCCCAATAATACAAGTTCAATTGTTTAGTTGGAGGTATTCATTCATTCAGAATAGAATAGAGCTGGAAGGGACCCTGGAGGTCTTCTAGTCCAGCCCCCTACTCAAGCATGAGACCCTATTTCATTGAGACAAGTGACAGTTCCAGTCTCTTCTTAAAAAGCCTCCAGTGATGGAGCGCCCACAACTTCTGGTGGCAAGCTGTTCCACTGGTTAATTGTCCTCCCTGTTAGGAAGTTTATCCTTTATTCCAGGTTGCTTCTCTCCTTGATTAGTTTCCACCCATTGTTTCTTTGTCCTGCCCTCCGGTGCTTTGGAGAATAATTTGACCCCCTCTTCTTTGTGGCAGCCCCTCAAATAATGGAATCCTGCTATCTTGTCACCCCTAATTCTTCTTTTCTCTAGACCAGCCAGACCCAGACCCTGCATCCGTTCTTCATATATTTTAAGTCTCCAGACCTTTAATCATATTAGTTGCTCTTCTCTGCACTTTTTCCTAAGTCTTGACATCTACCGGTACGTTTACTTATAAAAATCTACATTACTTTTATAAAAAAAAAAGTATTGATGTTTATTCCATCTTTATTACTGTACATGTAACTCGAGGTGGGGAACACACACAGTACTCCTTCCTCCTATTTTCTCCATCACAACAAGCCTGTGAGGTGGATTGGGCCCAGAGTGACTCGGTCCAAGATCGCCCAGCTGGCTTTCATGCCTAACGTGGGACTAGAACTCACCATTTCCCACTTTCTAATCTGATGCATATAACATAAAATGGACCGTTGTAGGAACTGGGCATGGCTAGTCTAGTGAAGATGAGGACCAGGGGCAGTCTTCCAATATTTGAGGGGCTGCCACAGAGAGGAAGGGGTCAAGCTATTTTCCAAGGCACCCAAAGGCCAGACAAGGAAACTGATCAAGGAGCGATTCAACCTGGAAATAAGGAGAAATTTCCTGACAGATTCTATTATCTATTCTATTCTATATTATTATTCTACTCTACTGTATTCTATTCTATTCTATTCTATTCTATTCATTATTATTCTACTCTACTCTACTCTACTCTAATTCTATTCTATTCTATTTATTATTATTCTACTCTATTCTACTCTACTCTACTCTACTCTACTCTACTCTACTCTACTCTAATTCTATTCCTATTCTATTCTATTCCATTCTTTATTATTATTCTACTCTACTCTACTGTATTCTATTCTATTCTATTCTATTCTATTCTATTCTATTCTATTCTTTATTATTATTCTACTCTACTGTATTCTATTCTATTCTATTCATTATTATTATTCTACTCTACTCTACTCTACTCTACTCTACTCTACTCTACTCTACTCTACTCTACTCTACTCTATTCTATCATTCCCCTGGAGTGTGGTGGAAATGGAGATTTTGCAGTATCCTTCTGCCACGCCCACCAAGCCATGCCCACAGAACCGGTAGTAAAATAAAATGGATTTCACCACTGGTTTCCTTATAAGTCTATCCAGTTCAACATTGCTAAACCATTGCTAAAATGTGACCTTTTTCCTTTCTCAAGCCTATTTAGATATGCCAAGCAGTTCCACCACAGACCTACCATTTCTTTGTGACAAGATATCCTTTCACAAGACTAAGTATTTCCCAGCAAATAGTCAAATAAGCCATACTTAAGAGAAACAACCATTTAACAGGTTCCTCTCGATAACACATTGTCTTTCCAAGCCACTGATTGAGCCTGTAACCCAGATCTGGCCAGAGTTGCAAGAGAGGGGAGTGTTAGCTAATTGAGGATTAAACTGACAAATTGCTTCAGCTGAGGAAGGGCGGGGTGTGTGAACTCTTGAGAGCCTCTTTCAAATCCACAAACCTGAAGGCAGGAGGAAGGGAGTGGCTATGACTGCAACTTGAGATTTCTTCTTCACCCCCCACCCTAAAGCCAAGCCAAGCCAAGCCAAGCCAGCATGAGAAAGCGAGAATATCCAACTAATTCCTGGCTCTAAATATTCCATTTCAAAGAAAGCTTCTAGGTAGGGTTTCCTTTAATCCTTTCTTCTGGATGCCAGGGAGGAGGTATTGGGAGCAGCTTAACAAACCTCAACATGGGTAGAGTGGCCATTTTTTCTCTCTTTCTTTGGTGCAGCACTTTGATTGTCTAGGAGTTCCTTCTCCTCCTCCTCCTCCTCCTCCTTCTCTGTCCAATTTTGGTCTTCCGTCTTGGTCTGAGTGATGGGTGGACTCTTGTAAGTGGCCAGCTTGGAAGCAAAGCCAAGGACTCCAGGAGGACCATAGAGCTTGGAGAAACTCTCAACTTTGTTTCTAGGAACGTTGGATGGTGCTTCCAAGATGGGATGAGCGAGAAGAAAAGGTGTGAAAAGGACAATGTTGTTGGTTAGGCTTGATTTGCAGTAGGCCCAGGAGCAGGAGGTTGGACTGGAAGACCTCTAAGGTCCCTTCCAACTCAGTTGTTGTTGTTAAGCTGTAGTGTTTGAACACATAAGTGCCTTCTCTTTAACGTGTGGTGCTTTGAATGGCTTTGATAGGAAATTTCTTTTTAAAACATTTCTCTTCAGTGGTATTTTTATATTTTGCTGCCAATTAAACAGTTCCTCAAAACACAGTTCTTCCTAAGCAGGGGAACGGAGTCAAATGGAACAGGTTTATTTGTATTCAAAAATGAATTAGAAGTGGAAACTTTTACAGAGCCTGGATGGTCTCCCAAATCTAAGCCAGGTTGTGGTTGGGGTGTGGGGTTGGGGTGCTAGGCAAAAAATACTGGACTAAAATCCATACTGGTTGGAAAAAATGACAAAAAAACACATAGACTTTAAACCAGAGATTTTTTTTTAATTAGGAATTGTGCCAGAAATATATAACAGAGAATTGAGATATTTGATTGTGAATGTATTGACAGCGGCTAGAATTGTGTTTGCTAAAAACTGGGAAAATGAGAAAATGCCAATGCAAGATGAAGTTATTAAGAAAATCATGGAATGCGCTGAAATGAGTAAATTGACATTTGAAATTAGAGAACAAGAAGATAAACAATATTATAAGATATGGGAGTTATTTTACCGATGGCTAGATACTAAAACATGGAAATGAAATATGAATTATAAAATCAATATTATAATATAATATGTGATAAAAAAAAAATTGGAATGATAATGCCATTGTTAGATAAATGACAAATGATGATAATGATATAAAGATATATATTAGATTGATAATATGAGAAATTGGATACTTAGTAAAATATGAATATGGGGACGAAGCACAAAGGATTTGTAACCGATCGACACACTGTTTGTAATTGTTAATGGAAGATGGATTTTTATGTTTTGTTTAAAAAAAAAATTCAAAAAAAACAACAGTGTGCTAGAAAATCCTTTGGGTTTTCCTAGCTTGGGAAGTTGGGAAAAGTTAGGAAAAAAAATATCTTTCCTGAGAAGACAATGGCTTTTTTTTTTTGTTCCTGCCAAAAAAACTTACCGTATGTGAACAAGTCTATGAAGTCAGGAGAAGGTGAGTTTGTCTTGAAGGAACTTTTAGAAGTGGGAATGTTGGCTGCCATTATTGAAGATCTCAGCAAGGGTTGAAATCCAGCAGGTTCTGACAGATTCTGGAGAACCGGTAGCGGAAATTTTGAGTAGTTCAGAGAACCGGCAAATACCACCTCTAGCTGGCCTCAGAGTGAGGTGGGAATGGAGATTTTGCAGTATCCTTCCCCCAGGAGTGGGGAGGGAATGGAGATTTTGCAGTATCCTCCCCCTGCCATGCCCACCAAGCCATGCCCACAGAACCGGTAGTAAAAAAAAAATTGGATTTCACCACTGGGTCTCAGGTTCAGAACTGTGTATTTATTTAAATGTTGGACTTCACTAACCTCAGTTTTCCTCCCTGGAGCCCAACAGGATTTTTATTTCTGGAGATAAAATTAGAGAATGATACAGAACGATTTGAGCTCCAGAATCACAGTAGGATGAAAACAAATCAGTGGAATGGCTTCTCTCCAGAAGTTGTGGGTGCTCCATCTCTGGAGGTTTTTAAGATGAGACTGGACAGCCATTTGTCTGGAATGATAGGGTCTCCTGCGAGCAGGGGGTTGATCTGGAAGACCTCCAAGGTCCCTCTCAACTCTGTTATTTATTTTGGTAAGTAAATATTGTCTTCTACATCTGGCACTCCGAAGCAGAAGACCCAAGCTCTTTAAGGAGACCCTTTTAAGTCTGATTTAAGGCGCATCCTTGGCTTTTAAAACACTGAAAAAGTTAATTGAGAGCCAATTTGGATCTTTTATGATCAGCCTGAACTTTCAGATTTGCACTGCAACTGGGCCAACAGTAAGAATTGACCGACTGGGAAAATATTGAAGACGGGACCTGCATGGAAAACGGTCTCTTTGATTTGGAAATTTTCCTACCGAAATCCATGCGAAACCCTGGTTGCTACTTCCTTCCAGGAATTTTTCATGTGCTTGTTTTTTGTTTTGTTTTTTATTGTGCATTTTTAATGTTGGGATTAATGGCGAGATTAGTGTTTGTACATTCTGCTTTGAAATCTGCCAATTGGCAGGATTTTCGGGCATGCCAAGGGAAAACATTGTGTACCGTGGCTTGGAAAGACAGTGTGCATCGAGAGGAACCTGTTAAAAGTAAAATGGTCTTAAGTATGGCTTATTTGACCATTTGCTGGGAAATACTTAGTCTTGTGAAAGGATATCTTGTCACAAAGAAATGGTAGGTCTGTGTGGAACTTCTTGGCATATCTAAATAGGCTTGAGAAAGGAAAAAGGTCACATTTTAGCAATGGTTTAGCAATGTTGAACTGGATAGACTTATAAGGAAACCAGTGGTGAAATCCATTTTATTTTACTACCGGTTCTGTGGGCGTGGCTTGGTGGGTGTGGCAGGAGAAGGATACTGCAAAATCTCCATTTCCACCACACTCCAGGGGAATGATATTGCAAAATCCCCATTCCCTCGCACTCTGGAGCCAGCCAGAGGTGGTATTTGCCGGTTTTCCGAACTGCTCAAAATTTCCGCTACCGGTTCTCCAGAACCTGTCAGAACCTGCTGGATTTCACCCCTGAAGGAAACCTTGTATATTATGTGACAAGCAGCTCATATAATTACAATAGTGTTTAACAGTTTTGCACAAGCATCCATGATTTTCCTGGTGTCAATTCTTCCTTGCAATGATCACAAATTATATTAAATCATTGTTTTTATTCTCTGCTACAAATGACTGAAGCCGATTTCTGAATCCTGTAGGATTTCATTGACTCGTGCAGAGTTTTATAGCTAGGCCTGAAAAGCAGATGGAACTCTGTGTGTGTGTGTTTTGGATGGGGGTTCAGGAACTGAGGGTTAAATTAATTAATTGCTGAGAATTTCACATAACTACTGATTCACTTTTAAAATTGTAACCAAAAATGCTAATGGAGAAAGGAGAACCCTGACGATCAATGGGGTGACAAAGATTTGACAGCTTCAGCTTCTGAACAATTTTAAAGTTATGAATTGAGTTGTTTTAAATTACATTTTTAATTGCAATTTTAACACCCACCCTTTGTGTGGGCACTCTTGTGTGGGCATCTCTCCAGACAATATTGTATATTGAGGTCTCCTCAGTGTTCTCCGAGCTTGGTGGATTCCTTGCAGATGTTTCATTGCCCAAACTAGGTTAACATTACCAGAGCAAACGAGATGTTATCTAATTTGAATATTGTCTTCACTTCAATCCTGAACTGCAAATATTCTCCTTTACTGGTGCAATAAAGTGGGATTCCCAAGTCCTTCCTTTTGATTTTAAGTTTCTCGGAAGACTCCAGCATCTTGGGGAGCTGCCAACAGCTGTTTGAAATTTTTCAAAATTTTCTGGGATCCAGATTAATAAATGGAACAGCTTGCCTCTCAGAGTGATGAGTGCTCCATCGCCGGAGATTTTTCTAAGGAAACACTAGACAACCATTTGTATAAAGTCTCCTGCCTTGGGCAGGAGGTTGGACTAGAAGACCTCTGAGCCCTATGAGTCTATGCTGGCTGAGTAATTCTGGGAGCTGGATGGCACACATCTGGAATCCCCTAGAGCAGGGGTCTCCACCCTTGGCAACTTTAAGCCTGTAGGACTTCCACTCCCAGACTTCTGCTTTGCTGCCTGGGGAATTCTGGGAGTTGATGTCCTACAGGCTTAAAGTTGCCAAAGTTGGAGACCCCTGCCCTAGAGTGATCAAATGCTCCAGCTGTGCGCTTAGAAGTGTTCATGGGCAAAGAGAGATCCCCAGAAGCTCCAATGATGTTTCAAGTGTTTAGATTCAACCATGGTCATCAGATACCAGATCATGAATCATGAGGGCAATCAGGAAGGTAAGAGATAATGGAGGGAACAGTGGCAAAGGTCCTTGCAATGTGTGCAAACAGACCTTGTCATTTCAAAGTTTCGGGAGAAAGGTTGCCATGGTTATTCTGATACGTAATGAAAAAACCAGATGAAGAGGTGGGTATTAGCGGAAACAGATTTATGAGGGGAACTTAAGCTACATCGGATTTCTTTCTTTCTTTCCTTTAAATAGCCTATTGTTCTTGTAGATAGCGAGTTGTGTAACTTGTGTACACAACAGAAAATGTCACTAGGTTTGAACCGGGATCTAAATGCTTTCAGGGTTGCCATCAACTCTTGTGTTGAAAAAAGGAGCTGTCTTGCATAGAAAACAAGGTTAGGAGGAGCCTTCTAGTCCAACCTCTTGCTCAAGCAGGAGACCTTCTTCCAAATGGCTGTCCAATCTTTTCTTGAAAACCTCCATGATGGAGCACCCACAACTTCAGGAGGTAAGTCATTCCACTGAATAATTTGTTCTTTACTCTCTGGAAATTTCTCCTTAGGTCTAGGTTGGATCTTCCTCTGACCAGCTTCCACCTGTTGCTTCTTGTCCTACCCTCAGATGCTTTGGCGAATAGGTCGCCCCCCTCTTCTCTGGGACAATCCCTCAAGTATTGGAAGACAGCTTTCATGTCCTCCCTAACTCTTCTCTTTGTTAGGGTTAGGCCAGACATATCTAGTTCTCTCAATCATTCATCGTACAGTTTCGTCTCCAGCCCCTTGATTATCTTTGCTGCTCTTCTCTACTCCTTGAACAACTACTACTACTACTACTACTACTACTACTACTACTACTTCTTCTTCTTCTTCTTTTTCTTCTTCTTCTTCTTCTTCTCCTCCTCCTCCTCCTCCTCCTCCTCCTCCTCCTCCTCCTCTGTCGTCTTCTTCTTCTTCTTCTTCTTCTTCTTCTTCTTCTTCTTCTTCTTCCTTCTTCTTCTTTCTTCTTCTTCTTCTTCTTCTCCTCCTCCTCTCCTCCTCCTCCTCCCT